TTTTTTTTTTACGTATGCGTACGCACGATTTTGGGTTCATACACGTCCGTTGGAATACGTACGCGAACGCACTGGGTACGTGTATGGCGTGCTACCCAGATATATATATAGGTTTTTGGTTTTTTATTTTTAATTCATGATTGACTATGAATTTGAACATGACTCCAAGGCAAAAGTTGCTTGTATTATTATTTTACATAACATATATTTGTTTCAAATGTTTATAAGAACTTTTTTTTTTTTTGATTTTTTTTTTTTTTCGCGGTCGGAGAGTTTTGGGCGCTTGTTCGCGTTCGCCTCCAAACGCGAACACGGTTCTACGTAGGTGACAACCTATTGTTCTTTTCATCGTTAGAAGTGGCCTGACTAAAAAAAGGTGCGGCAAGATATTTAGTTTGAAACGTCGTGTTGTGGTGATCATCAAGATGTATTTCTACCTAATTGTACCCCAACTTCAGATCTATCTCGGTAAAGTACTTATCGCCTTGCACCTGATCCAACAAGTCGTCGATGCGGGGCAATTGTTTTGCATTTTTTACAGTTGTGGCTTTCAGACTCCTGTAGTCTATGGTACTCTATACACATACTTAGCTCTCTCTCTTTCTTAGGGATAAACAGAACAGGTGCGCCGAAAGGAGACGAACTGGGTCTCATCCATCATTTTTCGAGGAGCTCGTCTAATTGCTTGCGCAACTCCCCCAACTCCATAAGAGACATTATGTACATTGCTCCCTTAAGCGTCCTACTGTTAGGTTTGATCTCTATGCGATGTTGAATGGGTCTTCGTACTACCCCTGCGGGTGCCTCAGACAAATCCGTATACTTCTTCAACAAATTGGCGATAGTGAGATAAATTTCTTTCTCCTCTTTTGGCGGCTCTGATATTGGTCTAACATAGGCTACAAACACATTTTCTTCGAGTTGCTCCTTCTTAAAAAGTCTTGCAAATGTAGGAGCGCCGAGACAGCAATGCTCCAGGGAGTTGTCGACTCCTGACACATAAAATAGGTGGGCTTTCTTGACCCCACTCGACAGACTATTGAGCCTGCACTCATGCTCTCTAAGGTGCAAAGTAACCCCGACTGACTCTCCCCAATCTGTTCCAAACACTATGTCAAAAGGGAGGTTCTCTTCTACAAGGAAAGTCGGGGAGTGGAGGACTTTTTCTACCTTCCCTTCTTGCTCTTGGCAAAAGTACGTCTAGACCCTCTCCACATATTCTCGACCCACATTGTGCGGTTGTCTGCGAGGACGCTGACAACAGGATCTTTCAACTTTTGGACCTTGAGGCCTCAAGGTAGCCGATCCTTCATTGCCTTTTGACGATGAGGAGGACTATAGACCCGTAGAGTCTATGTCAGTTAGGTTGCCCTAAAAAAAAGTAGCATCCTCGACATAAGAGAGGGAACTCTACACTCTTGGACAAACCCTAGACCATTGGAGGCATAACCTGCTCGGGAAGCACGTCAAAGGCTGCTCAGACCATGAAACTCCAAGATGGTTGAAGACACAAGCCGGGATGACATCCAAGTTGACTAGGTGGGCAACTTAGATAGATCAGTTTGACTTTGAGCTTAAGCCCGTTAAAGGTGAGTACAACGTGGAAGCCGACGCTCTAAGTAGAAGGGCATATTAATTTGGAGCGATATTGCACTATCTGGACATAGGGGGAGACCTGCAGCAAAAGATAAAGGATGCATATAGGATCCGATTTATAGTGATCTATTGAAAAGAGTAAAAGAAACCCCTTATAGTGAGTCAAATTATCGCCCCACAAACGGGTTCCACTTTGAGAAGACCAATGTCATTGATAGACTGTGCGTCCCCAATAATCAAGAAATCTATAGTTTAATCTTATGGGAATGTCATGATACAGAAGGACACTTCGGCTCGAGAAAGACATTAGCCAACCTCATGATGCCGTATACATAGCGTGACTTGAAGGCAAACTGCAAACTGCATAGAGTATATTCGCAACTGTAAAGTTTGTCAGAGCAACAAGACAACGATACGAGCACCTTTAGGTCTTCTTAGACCTTGGCTATCCCCTCAGGACCCGACGGGTCCGTTTCCATTGATTTTATGGATACCAGAGTCAAGAGTAGGAATGGCAAAAACCAAGTCATGGTCATAATAGACCGTTTTAGCAAATATGCATTTTTTGTATCTTTGCCTGCACAGGCAAGGATATATTTAGTTATAGAGAAGTTTTCTTACTTCAGGTAAGTGAGTATGGATTCGTACTCTTGTACTCGTACGTTAGGGGCTACGTATGAGTTTTTTTTTTTTTTTTTTTTTAAATCCGGTATAGTTTTTTTTTTTTTCCTCAGGTCGAGATCATCGGGCAGATAGCCACACA